AAAGATATTGAAGAGATATACTCCTTACCTTTACATGAGGTGCTGCAAAAGTAATAATTTGTGTGCCATTTATTAAACTTGTTGTAGTGAATGATAATGTTTTCTCTTCTCCATTAATAGTCACTGCTATCTGTGGTCTCTGATCCAGACTCAGAATTCTCCACAAATCCCACGTCTTTTTTACTTTAAATCTTTGAGTGGAAACAAACACATAGGATGGAGGAAGACCTTCTGGAAACACATTCCTAAATAAGGGCAAAGGGAGGGGAAAAAAAAAGACAGGACTTGAGCATTCAAATAAATCTTAAGATAAGTCTCTCTCACTTAATGGATACAAAAAATTTTTACTAAATAGAGAAGTGTACTTATAAATTTCAGTACCTTGTCAATTCTGACAGGTCAACACGTGAGGTTACTTCATATGCTTTTGCATTAGTGGTTGGTATTTGAATTCTCTTTTTAACCTTTTTCTTCACACCTAATCCTACAAGAATGTCAAATCCTTTTTCATCTCGAGCTGCTACTGGAATTCTTGTCGGACAAACAGATTCTGCAAAGTAATAAATGTAAGGATAGCTCAAAATACAACTTAAAACTTTCAAAAAAGTAACCTCCCACCTAAATAATTTTTTATAGCTGCCTTTCCAGAAATCAAAAGAGAACTGAGAACTGTCCGTTAGGTACAACATGGTATGCAGAATCCTCAGGGACTTGAAGAAAGAATACTGAGTTGTTATATTTTACTGCAATTACATTCACATACTATTTTGAATTGTCACTACTAGTAGTTGAAATATATTACAAAATCTGACTAATAAAAATATTTAATTTCTAAAATTGTATTGATTCAAAATGCTATGAAATTAGAGATATTCATTTCCACAATGCACCAACAATTTGGATTCATTCAGCATCCCACCCAACTATGCAATCAGTTTGAAAAGGGACAAGGGTAGAATTAGCTACAAGTGGTTTTTTTCATCTTCTTTAACTCCAAAATGGGCTCTGATCTATTTTGTCTCTTACACTGAAATCTGCTTGAAGTTATTCTCACTGGACAAATAGTGTGTGGTTTATTTTCTGTGGAAACTAAAGTCAGCTGAATGTTATCTGTGGTTAATTCCCTTTACACAAGAACAGTACTAGGCAGTGAACATAAGTTGTCTCAAAAAAAAAAGATTAAGGAAATGTGATAGGAGAGTGAAATTTAATGCTAAAGGAAACATTATATTAGGGCAATAAATTGATGAAATGAAAGCAAACAACATTTAGTTTCATTAAAGTTCTGCTAAACTATTTACAATAAATAAATTATCATTATTCATGTGCCATTGTTTCTTCAGAAAAGCATCAGTTCATAGACAGGGAAGAGGTTAGAAATACATTCCAAAGAAGGGGTGGAGAGTTCTCTCATCTCCATCTGGACCAGCCGTGGGCTGGAAAACTCATGTCTCAGTGCCAAGGAATTATCAGCTCAAAGGTCTAGACTGACTTCTTTTTATGATACAAGCAACACTGCACAACTTCCCTTTCTAACCAAGCTAAGGGCAGTCAGAAGTTATCCCATTTTGGTGGGGGAGGCAGGATACATAAACTTCAGGAAAATTCAGCTGTGTCTGCACAAATTCTCTATGTCGGGAAAGGGAAAGGCCAATCCATACTAAGGGGACATGTCATAGGTACTTGGGGCAGCAGCAAGAAGCCACACAAACTCACCTTAGTTTTCTTTTCCTTCCCACAGGAAAAAATGACACCTGACTCCCAAATTAAAAATGTATTAAGTTATCTGCCTGTTCAAGAAAGAATTGCAAGAACTCTGCATTTTGGAAACTAAAATGTTTACCTTCCAAATTTTGCTTCCAAACAAAAAGGAGATACAAAGTTCAACACAACTTTGCTTCTCACTCTTCTCAAAACACAGGATTTAAGTCAACACACTTATGATATTAAGTAAGAGTAACAACACTTTATTTTTTTTCAGGTTTCTTCACTGTGCATAGTTATCATGGAAATATTTTCTAAACTCATTTCTTTCAAAGCTGAATAATGATCATATCTCCATTGATGCAGATTACAGATAATCATACACATATACACTGATGAGGAGATGAACAAAAGGGTTAATTTTCAGTTGCAATATTAGAAATTTGGTGCCAAACCAAAAATTAAATGCAGAAATAACATTGCTTTATGTGAGGGCTATTATGATGGATCAATGCCAAAGTAACAGTTCCAAACTAACACAAAACAAACTAAGCACGTGTAAAATTACACATTGAGAAACTATTCTTTTTTTCCAATGGCACATTGAAGAACTGCATAAAAAAATTCTCAGTCAAGAAGATTTTTCTGAGTCTTCTGGATCGTCATCTGGGAGGAGTATTTTGATCACTAACCATTTCTGAGTCTTCTGGATCGTCATCTGGCAGGAGTATTTTGATCACTAGCTGAACCATTATACAGGATGAAGAAGTCAGTGACAAAATTAAGAACTGCCATCCATGGGAAATGTGGTTGTATTTCCAGTCCACAGTACCAGTCACATCAACTCTCTAGTCTGTTCTGAAATCTTGTTGCCTTTTAGTGTTTTTACATAGTTTTCAGATGCTTTATTTTCCTTCCTAAAGCATTAAACAACTTTTTGCTGTTAAATCCCAGTATCTAGCACAAAGAAACTTTGTCCAACATCCTCCAGACTAACTTCTGAGGTCTGTCTGCATTGAGTTTTCTTTCCTAAATGCATATCTGACACACAAACTTTTCTTTATTTTTGCTATAGATTATTTATACTACAGGAACATTCAACTTCCAGAACAAATATTAAATATTTCACAGGTGTTTGTGTCCGTTCCGGATGACAGACTCAGCAGGTTTTTCCACTCTGCCATGATCTGAAATGAACACTAGAATTCCTAAAAGACATGCTAGAGCCTTCCATCCACAAGCCCATTCCTAACAGCAATACTTGCTACAAGGACCATCAAACCTCAGCCTCATTTGTCCAGAGAGGAGATACTACCCCTATGGTCTTCTATCATGTTCACATAATAATGAAGTTTAAAACACAACAGATTAAAATCTAACATTGTTTAGACGTGAAAACAAAGGTGATCAAGAGAGAACTGCAAACTTTTCAGGCAGTTTGACATGGTTCATCACAGTCAAATCACAACTGCTTGGCCCTCATGGAACTTCCTCTCCCATAGTCAAAGTGAATCTTAACAACATGATAACACATAAGTAAATAAATAAATAAAATAAGCCACAACTCAGCTGTGAAATTTCCAGTTTGCAAGTCTTTCAGTTCACCTGCTAAAGACACTGTGGCTAGAAATGAAGCTGCCAAGTGGCTCTGACTGCTCTGCAGGGGATGCATCCCAAGGCTAATGCAAGGGAATTGCATAGAGTTAAGAGGGAGGAAGCAAAGGGTCACTCAAAGTGAAACAGTGAGTTCATTTTTGTATTAGTAGTCAACACTCACAGACTGCTGCTGTGAGAGTCATATGAAATATCACAGCAGAATTTTAAAGGACATTAGTTAATTCTGAAAGCAGGAAATCCATCTTGATGAAATATAATGTCACTTCTTCCAAGCTTTATATAAAGAAAATAATGGTGTTTATGTGGGGGAATTTTTCCCTGTATGACATTCTATTAAGGAATTCAGTTGCACATAGCTGATTTAATTTTTGGACTGTCCACCTTACTACATCAGCCACAAGGAATGATTATGATTTTAATTCAATGTATCAAGAAATAAACACTATTATCCTCAAGAAAATTATCGCCTATTTTTTTTTCAACCCAAAGTGAGAGCTAATGAAAGCTAATTTTCATTCCTACTAAGTGCAGAAATGTGGTACAGCTGAAACAGGACTTGCATAAATTCTTGATAATAAAACATGTGCAAAATAACACTGATATAACAGAGTCTGAATGATGCATTTTAGAAACAATTTGCTATGGTTTTTATATACACAGGAAAGCTATTGTTTCACAAAATCATCAGAAAACTCAATTCGGTAATGCTGCTAGAATTCTACAACTAAAAAGGCATTTTATGATCTTGATTTTAGCTAATTCTTCTACAAAATCCTTCCAACAAAGATTCTAACAGCTTGCTACAATTCTCATGAGACTCCACCTGGAGTGCTGCGTCCACCTCTGGAACACCCAACACATAAAGGACATGGATCTGCTGGAGTGAGTCCAGAGGAGGCCACAAAGATAATTTGAGGGTTAGAGCACCTCTTCTATGAAGACAGCCTGACAGAGCTGGGGTTGTTCAGCCTGGAGAAGAAAAGGCTCTGGGAACACCAGAGATCAGCCTTCCAGTGCCTGAAGGAAGCCCACAAGAAAGCTGGAGACTTTGTCACCCTCTACAACTCTCTGAAAGGAGGTTGGAGTCAGGTGGGGGTTGGTCTCTTCTCCCAGGCAACCAGCAGCAGGACAAGAGGGCACAGACTCAAGCTCTGCCAGGGGAGGGTTAGGTCGGATATCAGGAAGAGATTTTTTAGGGAGAGAGTGCTCAGGCATTGGAATGTGCTGCCCAGGGAGGTGGTGGATTCCCCATCCCTGGAGGTTTTCAAGCTGAGACTGGATGTGGCACTTAGTGCCATGGGCTAGTGACCACGGTAGGGTTGGACTCGATGATCTTGGAGGTCTTTTCCAATCAGGTTGATTCTATGACACTTCACAAGGGCATGCAGTGGTAGGACAAGGGGGAATGGCTTTAAGCTGAAGGAGAGTAGGTTCAGATTAGACACGAGGAAGAAATTGATTCTTTAGCACTGAAACAGGTTGCCCAGAGCAGCTGTGGATGCTCCATCCCTGGAAGTGCTCAAGGCCAGGCTGGATGGGACTTTGAGCAGCCCAGGCTAGAGGAAGGTGTCCCTGCCCATGGCAGGGGAGTTGGAACTAGATAAGCTTTAAGGTCCCTTCCAACCCAAACCATTCTGTGATGCTATGATTTTTGCAAAGACTCTTTACTCTGGGTTTCTCAATACATACTAGAAAAAGTGTTTATTCAGAACTCCTGTCTGTACTGACAGGCTATCCTCTCACCTGTCAAGAAGAAATGCTGGATTGTGCTGCTTGTCAAATTCAGAAATAAGTGTACAGAACTACATTTTGCACAGCTAAAATATTTTATAATCACTTACCTTCACAGAGTTTCTGCTTTATAACTTCTTTAATTCTCGATATTGCAATATAGTCTTCAACATAAAATACATAAGTTGATGAAGGTTTGTTGGCAATAGCTTTAAGTTCATCCTCCTCAATTTCTGAGCCAACACCAATAGCAAACAAAGTGATTTTATTTTTCCTTGCTTCTGCTGCTATGTCTTTGACTTCATCTTGGGACTTTCCATCAGTGAGAACAACTGCTATTTTTGTTAAAAATCTCGAAGATTTTGCAAAGAGATGGTCAAAGGCAAACTGAATTGCTCTTCCTGTTCTTGTATTTCCTCCCAGATAGTGTATGGACTCCATTTCCCTGATGAGGTTCTCAGTGGACTCATGAATTCCGAGAGGAATTTCAAGTACAGGGTAATCACTGTACTGGACAACTCCAACTTGAATAAACTTTGGCCCTATGTGAAAATTTCTCGTAATATTGACAAGCCAACTTTTGATTATTTCAAAGTTTTCTGGGCCAACACTGTAAGAACCATCTAAGATAAAAACTAAATCCGCTGGAGCAGTTCTGCAGCCTAAAAAAAATTAGAAACAAATATTTTAATGAACACTTTCTTCTTCCACAGTAAATGTTTTTTGTATTGATTACTGTTTGTATGAGGATCTATACTGACAAACACATTCCATTTGAAAAAAAAAAACCAACACAAAAACTATCAGCAGAGTTTATCAGAGAAAACAAGATTGTCTTTGTAAGCCACACAGATCAAACTTGGTCCCTGAAAATAACATGATTTGCTGTTTTTTACATTATCACCAGACACAGCTATGACAAATTTCGTAATTCAGTTCCTTAGTTAGCAATTGCATTTCATGCAATAAGCAGAAAAGAATACATACTGAGGTTTTTCATATCTTGTCTGCAAAGATGATAAACATGAAAACTCATTTTTGTTAGCAAACCAAGCACATTGCAGAGGAAGGCTATAGCCTGAATCCTCCAGAACTCAGCAGCAATTTCCAATCCTTTTACACACACATTTTAATTGACTTCTGACACTGCTACAGGGCATTTACAGAACTAGGTATTATAAAATCTGAGTCTCAACTGAATGTTGCTGGTAGCACATTCTGATTTTAATAGCAGAAAAACACTCAGTGAACGACCTCAACCTCCAGATTATAAATTCATATAAACATGTAACAATTACACTGGAACTGCATGATCACTAAGGTATGGATTCAGTTCTCCTAGCTGCAGTCACCTATAAATGGAGCTTGTAGACAAAAATTGCCAACTACAGGCAAGACTGACACAAGCACTTCTGTAGGAAAGTCCTATCCATCCTACATGCCCCTCCTTGGATGGAGGGCATAACCCTCCAAAGGAGAGTATCACCTTCTGTGACCGTGAAACAAGTTTTGAACTGACACATGAGGTGCCAAGGAGATGGCCAAAACCAGGAGAGTTTCTTTTGATCTCACAGCAGATGAGGTTGTTATGGTCATGGTGGTTACTGTGCTTTCTGTTTTGTGAAATGCTGCAGCTCAGTGACAGGAAGGAAAACTTTGCCTTGTCCTGACATCTGCCTGTGGACACTTCTGGTCAGGGCAAGATTCCACCTGCCTTGAAAGTGAGTGACCACAGTCTGCTGGAGAGATGCTTTTTGCAGCACAAGTGATGAAGAGAAAACACATTGGGAGAAGGAACAAAGGGCAAGCAGAGTGCATCATTCCACGGTCCAGGGATATGAATCACAGAATAATTTCAGTTGCAAGGGAGTGAACACTATTGGATTCTGCTGAGAGCAGGCCCAGCTTACAGCAGGTATCCTGAAAAAGTCTTTCTAGAGACCAAGAGGAATTTTATGGAGTTTGTTGTAAAATACTGAAAATTGCTGAATTAAGAGCAAAACCAGAGAAAAAAGAACTACCCTGAAAGTATCAATGTGGCCAGAGGAAAGTTTTCCATGTTCTTTTTGTTTAGTCACTTTGTCTTTCAAAAAAACTATTTTGCTTTAATGTTTTGTTTTCTATAAACAAAACTCAGAGTATAAAACATAATTTGGTGGGGTGGGAGATGCTCATTTTGAAGAATATGCAAAAAGGTCTGTCCCAGATCTGGAGTTACCTCAGCTTCCTCTCATAGAACTTTTCTTTATTTAGTCTCTCACATAACATTAAGTTATTCATGACTTTTGAAGAAATGAAAATACAAACACTCAAAACACAAGTTTAAATCAATACTGGAGCTTTACAATTCCATCTGAGCCCTGGGGCATTTCCAAGACACACAAAAAAAAAAAGAAATAAAGGTATTCCCCTCCTAAAAGAGAAATAAGACA